AGCTATTTAAAAAATAATAATAACTATGGAGGATTTATAAAACTATGGGTTGGCATTTGTCACAATTGAAAAAGCTGTTAGCTTAAATTAGTTCAAAACAATTATGGAGTACCAACTTTCTCTGGAAATAGTAGCTGGCATTTGTCTCAATTAAATAGAAAATAGCTTAAATTAGTACATTGTAAAAAGAAAAAAGATTTCTATTTGTTTTTACCATGTCCTGTAAAAGTGTAATCAAGCCCCAATTTCTAGTGATGGTCTTTTATACGGGTGTTTTAAACGAAATTGTTCTCTATAACCACGAATATGATTGTGTCAAGATATTTTTGTGATATTTTAGTTACATACAAAATTATAGTAGTTAATCTGTTGTTGCATATCAGTTGGAGGGTATATTGACCTGTGTCTAGTGCTGTTAAATTAAATAAGTCTGGCTCAACATAGTTCGAGTTCGGCTCATTTGATAAATGAGTTGAGCTCGACCTCATATGGTGAACGAGCCAAACTTGATTCGGCTTGATAAGGCTCGAAAAGTGAATTTTTATATAATTTTATGTAGTTCGGGTCGTTAAAGGTCGAGATCGGTTCGTTAAAACTCGAACTCAACTCGTTATTAGTGATAAACAAGTCGAGTTCGAGCTCGATTTTATGCTCGTTTATATAACGAGTCGAGCCGAACTCGAGCACCCTAAGCTCGAGCTCTGCTCGATTCGTTTACAGGCCTACCCATGCCTACCAGTAGGATTGGTGTTTTAAAAGTTAAAACCCACAATGGATGATAAAATTTTCTGCTTCAAATTTATATTTCAATTATTGTTCATTTCGTTAGATAATTGACACGCGTATAAATGTGACTTCATCATATATGGACACCTGTTAGTCATCCAATCGAATGAAACATGATTCTGAAATAAGAAATTCTGGTTTCAATTATATTGGTTAATTAATTTCGCCATCAGAACCGATTTAACTATCGTTCTTAATTTCTTTTACCGATAGTAATATAAATCAATAATATCTATAGTTACAATATAAACGTTACAAAATTTATATACATTATGGTTTAAATTTTGTACCCAACCAAAAAAAAAAAATTATTATTGAAAAACCAGTGATATAGATAGAGTATAAAATGCTTGTTTGGTAAAATAAATAGTATCTTTATTTTTATTTTTTTTTTACCATGGACTTCAATTATTTAATCATGTGCATGGACCACAAATCTGGGAACCGGCCATATATGTCTTAAAATTTTAAAACACAGCAAAATTATGTCACTTTCTTAATTTGAAAGAATTCTTTTCACTGCAATCGCTTTTAACTCAATTATGAGTCTCAATTCCAAATTTTTGACTTTTCGATATCAGGCTTTTGAGTTTATATATATACATATGTAGCCTAACCCTCATGTTTGCACCCATGAACTTAGTGCAAAGGTT